CTGGATACTAGAGATCATGGACTAAACATAGACATTGGATTTTTGATACATTATAATCTGCCTGGCAACTGACTCCCCCGCCCAGCCCAGCCCAGCCCAGCCCAGCCCAGCCCCTGGCTTCTTTACTTTTCATTCCATCCAGGAAGAGCACACACCAGCTCCTGAAACTTCCTTAGCCTGACAAAGGGTTTTTGAACTCAAAAGCTTGCTTAATAACTATTCTCCAATTATTTGGGTTGGTCTAATAAAAGATATCAAATTCACCCAAGGAACCTTGTCTGCCTATGTCCTTAGACCAACACGGCTACAACCTACACCCCGGGAGTGACTGAGATGCTTAGACACCATGTAGCATTGCTTCAGGCAGCACAATCAAGGCAGGATTATACCAGTACAGATTTTCTGTGTCTCTAATCCAGTAGGATTCTTCAAGCATGTCAAAGAAAAAGTGCATAAAGGAGAACTTGCTGGCATTTACTTTGGGCTTTCAAGATTACTTTGATAACAGGCTTAGACAAAGCTATTAAGAAAACTACGTAGTTATGGGGTAAGAGCAAAGTAGTGTTAAAAACTGTTTGACAGATAGAAAATGTATCAATGGAAAACAGAAGTTTTTTTACATTGAGACTGTTATTTTGATGTAAAATAGTAATAAAGCCAGAGTGCAGGTGATCTTTTAATTTAACATAGTTAATTGGGATTGACCCTATTGGGCACATCCAGACACGTGCGCACATGTGGTTTGTGACACCTCAAACCTGTTTGAATCGCCACAAACCACACGTGCACCCATTTGTCACACTTCAGATTTGCAGTGCAGCACCAAAATTCGGCACTGGGAGATCCCAGCATAAAAAAAAAAATGCTGCAAGAAGTGGTGCAGAGCATGCAGCTACAGCATGTGCTGCCGAAAACAACCTGGCTGGCCAGAGCCATATTCTGGCTGCCAGCCAGGGTCTGAGCAGCTGGATCGATGCTGCTGCTGCCTTGGGAGGCCCCCAGGACTCTAAGTGAGGCAATGGGGCCAGCACCTATGCTGGCCCCAGCCTCCCCTACCCAATCTGGGACAATTTGTCCCACACTAACCCCACATGCAGGGGCATGAGCAGTAGCAAAAAGCAGTGGCATAGATTTGTGCCACTACTATTCTTGCTGCAGCAACTGCATGCCCCTGCATGTGGGTACGTGCCCATTATGGCTTGTTTGGTCCATCTACAGTGGGGTTTTCTTACATCAAAAACACTAATTCAAGTTAACTATGTCAACAGAAAAATACATCTCTTGTGCAATGAAACCCAGAATAGGATTACCCGGTAAAATAGTCATTTTCACCACAGCCAAACGTTAAGCATATGTGCCTCTCAAGTCCATACTAGAATATGTATTTATTAGTGGTCTGAGAAATTAAAGTTGACAGAAGAAGTCTTGGTGACCAAAGACATCCACTGCTGTCTGTACTTGGTAAGAAGCCTGGGCCCCTTTTTAACACAGAGATGTAACTGAAACTGTCTGCTTCTTCCTAACCTCCAAACCTCTTTATTGAAAACGTTATCTTAGTATGGGAAACATTTTCAAATGTGCCTAAAATTCAGACCCTAGTGAACTGATTTCCATGGGACTTAGCTGCCTAGATAAATTTGATGTACTGTCTCAGTAACTCTTT